GAATAAGACAGTTGTTTTCCATTCGTTTGATGTGTTTGATATTTTGATTTTGCCATTTGATAAGGAACTTTCAGTTAATAATTTTCCTTGGAGTTCGGTATTTTTGTTATTTTTCTCTTTTATGTGTGTATGTCAGCTTCTCGCACAGCAAAACAAATACGCCCATCTTCATCAAGATTAATTTTACTATTTGAAGAAAGACGATCAGGTGACCATAGTTCTTTACCCCAGTCAAAAAGATTTTGAAGATCACATATTCTGTTACATAACCTGAGTAGACATTTTGAAGAATATCAATAAATAAAAGAATAAGAAGATGTGGTAGGATTGCAAATGAGACAAATACCCACCATAGACCAAATGACGCAGATGTTATCAACTAAAGGTTACCGTACGACAATTTATTAAAGCTAATCCAAAGCAAATAACAATTAATATAAATATCATGTTTCCAAGACGTCAATCAGTACACATCCACTGGATTAAGTATAAAAGCGTTATAAACAGACGTCAGAGAAATTAACAGGATCTTTCACCATTCTCGAAATTGCAATTTAATTTCTAAGACAGACATTTTCTCTTAATACTGTATTTGTATTTTTTGTTGGTTTTTGTTTAGTAATATACACTTCAAAAGCTTTTTGTAAAGATAAGGAGTCATAATTATAGAAAATCCTGTATGAAATAAAGTTATTTTCTATTTCAGAATGTAGGGTAGGATTTATTTCAATAGACGGCGAACCATGCAAACCTTGTCCGTACGGAAGCTATGACCGGAAGTGTTACAAAATATGTATGTGCACGAAAAATCAAAGGTATATTTTCTTAGTAATTAATTACAACAAAAAAGCTCTTTGACAAACGCTTTGAAAGCAAAAAAAAAACATTGGTATTTTGATAAAACCAATCTCAAAATGTTATTATACGGACAGACAAACATATTTTGATCCAACAATTCCTATTTTAAGGTGTAATAACGTGTATGGATGCATTGATATCTATCATACCAGTACAGAAACCAGAAACGATAGAAGTTCAGAAATACTTAAAGGTATGTTGATGTCGTTTAAAGATATCTAAATATAAAAAATCCAACTGACACCGTATTACACAAGCTAAAGCAGTTTTATCATATTGTATTGGGATAGAAATGCATGATATTTAAATGTTTTGTAATAATTTTTTGGGGAAAATCTTTTTAATGCGATACATGAACAATCACAACTATTTTTAAAAGATCTGGTACGTTGAATGTGGAACTAAAATTTTGTTTTAATGCCTAAATAATTTTATAAAAATATAAGACAGTGCAAATACAAAAATAAGGCTTTAAATCTTTGCCTCACTCTTTGTGTACACTTTTAGGTAAACTTTACAGGTTTCTAGACAGGGAGACTGTCTTTTTCATTTATATTCTTCTTGAAGGGTACCTGTCTTTTGATTATGATTTTGTCTGTTTTAGCTAATGTCTCTTTAATACTTCTTGTTTGTAGAAATCAATTCATATTACATTTTGAATGTCTTTGTCGGTTTTGTTCGATTTATGATTTTTGATTGTACATTTGTTGTCGTTTGCTTCTTTTTTTAAAAAGGAAAAGGACATAATCGGTAAACGTAGAAATTAGACGAATATTCGATTTCCAATCTTTTTTTATTTCTGTTACAGAAAAGAATATTTTCAAACGCATACAATTTTCCATAGAACTGAGGTTAATCACATTTTCCAAAAGTATTATTGCTTCAGTGTTTGTTCTTGTATTGTTCATTCATGTTTTAGTATGTTTATAAACCAATAGGGAACGCGAACTCCCTGTCCGACATTTTATCTGTTAACTTCACAATCTCAAATTCTAAATTCATCCAATACCAAAAAGTCAATTTAAATTACTATTTAGGAGCCTTCAGTAACAATAGTTTTTGTGCACGCTGTCCTTTTCAAAATGTCAAAAATATTTAAGAAATACGTTGCAAAACATGAACTTTCATACACAAGTTCATTGTGACACATTTTGAAGAATCGTTAATGCTTGAACACCGTGACCCGACTATATTTTTGTCCGCCCCAATATAAGTTGCCGTTTCATTGACTCCAAGATAAGTTTCTAGTGAGATTCCCATCTTCAAATAACACATCAATGAGCCTTGTCACTTAACTTGGAGTTTTGATAGTCTCCTGTTAGTCACAGCCCCGCTGTGAATAATGTGTGGTAAAAAATTTGTATCTTTATCATTGGACATGGGGTTGTCAAATGAAACCAAAGTTTTTGACCTTGACCTTTGACATAGGAAGTTGTACATAAATTATGACACACCCTCTGGTGTTGGTTTATATACATATCAAGTATAAACTTTGAAATCATAACGGTTCTCAAGATATAGAGCGGACACGATCTTTACCATAGGACATGGGGTTGTCAACTAAAACCAAAGTTTTTGACCTTGACCTTTGACCTAGGAAGTTGTACATACATTATGACACACCCTCTGGTGTTGGTTAATATACATATCAAGTATAAACTTTGAAATCATAACGGTTCTCAAGATATAGAGTGGACACGATCTTTACCATAGGACATGGGGTTGTCAACTAAAACCAAAGTTTTTGACCTTGACCTTTGACCTAGGAAGTTGAACATACATTATGACACACCCTCTGTTGTTGGTTAATATACATGTCAAGTATAAACTTTGAAATCATAACGGTTCTCTAGATATAGAGCGGACACGATTTGTTACGGACGGACGGACGAACGGGTGGACAGACGGACAGACGGACGGACGGACGGACGGACGGACAGACGGACAGACGGACAGACGGACGGACGGACGGACGGACGGACGGACGGACGGACAGACTGATCATTGTAGGGCGGCCGCCATTCGGCGGGGCCCTAATTAACATTTTTAACTTTTATGTATTGTCGTGTGTTCAAGACAACCCTTACAAACAAATAACAAAAAGACATCTAAAAAACACAGAAAGAGAGAGAGAGAAGAATATAATGTAAAGAAATACCATAGTATTACAATACAATACAATACAATATTTTTATTGTCAATCAAGGACGCCCTAAGAGAGCAGTATAATTACAAATAATTTATTACAATGATTATTATTAATTCTTAATGATATATAATGACAAAATATAGAATAGAGAAAAAATAAACACAAAAGAAAAAGCAAAACCCCAGATGGAGCCCTTTTTTGATGGGTTTTGTTTTCTTTGCAGTCACCACCGTTAATATGCTTATAACACACTCCTACAGCGGATATTCAGAACAAATAGAAAACAGCACTGGTAAATATAAACAATATAAACCTATAAATTTGAACAGTCGTTTCTTTGATTGATATTTCATGACCGAACTTGGATTATTGTTGACTGGGCTGTTGATACCGTCTGGGACTAAACGTCCACTATGTATCGAAGTTATGACCGTACGAAGTCATGAAAGATAGCAGTCTGATAATTAAGTTAACCAGAGACTTTTCATTGGTGGCGCTCTTATAAAAAAAAAGGAGACAAAATCGATTTTGAATAGCACTGAAACATAAAGTTCTGTGTAACGAATAATTATAACATTTTTTAAACAGTAAATTTACATGAAATGATCGCTTTTATAATTTTGCATGTCAGTTTTGAATTGCTGACTACTGGACAGGGGATACCCATGGGGAAGATGTCCACTAGCAAAGGTATCGGCGCGGTGTTGGCTAAACAAAATAGTAAAGTAAGCAATTAAAATGAAAGATACCAGGCTTATCATAAAGTACGCAAGTCGCTTGTTAGGTTTGCATTTTTTTTTTCTCAATAAATGGACAAACATTTTATACTACATGTACAATTTGAATTTATGTTGTGTAAAATATAAAAGATATGTCTAAAACAATATGAAAACAGTTCCTGTTATAATCGTTTTCCATTGAATTATAACGATTTTGGAAATTCCGATATTTTCCCCGTTCTTGCATTGCTCCACAAAAACGTGGTCAAGAGAAATAGCTGGGTTTAACCAATGACTGGCTTAATTTGCATCGATAAATTAAACGTTTTTAGTTATTATATCATCAAATGATTTTGCTCATAAGGATAAGTAGTCCATAGTTTTAAACTATTTTTTCATGTGAGTATTCAAAACTTTTATACATTTTTAAATGCAATAAGAATTAAAAATGTCTTCAAGACTGGGGAGGTGAAATTGTTACATATTAATTTTAATTCCATTTTTGAAGGCCACGTCCTTCATTTGTATGCACTGGATGTAGAAGAAGGTGTAGAAAGCCAATGACAATCGCATTAAATATATGTCGTCAAGTAAAATCCAGAATTTAATCAATATCAAGTGCAGAGCTGTTCTGCAAGTGATTACTATACTATATTTATATTATTAAACATGCACATTGACAATGAACATCTAGAAATCTTAATAAGCTCTAACAAGGGACATCAACGTACATCTCAAAGTCTTCTCGAGTGTTTAATGGTTTTGATAACTAAACAGACTACAGAATATCCAATGATAAAATTGAGAATGGAAATGGGGAATATGTCAAAGAGACAACAACCCGACCAAAGAGCAGACAACAGCCGAAGGCCACCAATGGGTCTTCAATGAAGCTATATATAAAATAGTGACTAGAGAAAATATGAATTGGGAAACGAAAGATAAGAACCAAACAAATATTGTCATGAAACAAATATAACTTCTTAGGAATAATTTGTTTTTAAAAAAAAAAGGAATTCTGATGTAATATTGTAAGAATTCCGATCCTGATTGAATAAGAGCATAATTTTGAGAGATAAATGTATGAATCAAATAATTGACGTTTCATTACATACTAAGTCGAGATTTCGATCTTTATAGTCTCAATTCAGCTAAGTGTCGTCTTCTAATTAAGTTGCCATTTATATATAAATTTGTCTCTTGCTCATATATCTTAAATTGTATACATCCTGTGCTTTACATTTGTTTTATTTTGTAATTTGTGAATGATTTAGCCTCAACCTACTCGTTCATAAAAACATCAGAACTTAAATCGACTACATCTCAGAACAGTGAAAAGCGGACCATAGGAACTGTTAAAAACAGTAATGAAGGTGAGTCTTATATAATGTTCTCTGCAGATATCATTCTTGTCAGTTTATAACGAGAAAAAAGTGAACAATTGCAAAGTTGACCTTAAATTGATTTTTCTATTATTTTTAGGTCCTTTTTGGTCATATAGCTTTTCCAGTGGAGCAGGATCTGCTTACCCTTTCGGAGCACCTGAGATCACCCCCATTTTTTGGTGGGGTTCGTGTTGTTCTGACTTTAGTTTTTTTGTTGTGTTTTGTGTACCATTGTTTGTCTGTTGATCGTTTTCTTTTTTAGCCATGGCGTTGTCAGTTTATTTTCGACTTATGAGTTTGAATGTCCCTTTGGTATCTTTTGCCTCTCTTTTTCAACTGTTTTGGTTCTTCAACATCCTTCTCCTCCTTGGCTTTCAAATATTCGGCTTTGAGCGTTCCAGAGAAGCGCTTTGGATACATGCAATTTATAAAGTGTTGTTTTTCATTTTCAAACGTTTCTTAAATTGTCAGTTTATAAAGTTAACAATTATTATGAAACTAAGGTTTCAACTCCCTCAGGCAAAGTTGACCTTAGATTGGTTTGGCTATTATTTAAAGTTCCTTTTGGTATTAACGGTCTTTATCTTTTTCGGTTCTTATACATCATGGTTTTAAGATGTTTGGGTTTGATCGTTCCTTATGAAGGTAGTATCTTTAGGTGGCTTTTGGTCACATATCTTCTCACACATATTTGGATGAGCGTTCCTGATGAAGTAAAACCCAGAAAGTGCATCGGACACACCAAATTATGAGTTGTTACATGTATTTTCTAGCACTACCGGTAGTGGACTGTAAGTCCCCTTGGGTATCATTAGATCAGAAGTCAGTGTTTTGGTTTTGACATGATTTATAATACTTTTCTAAAAAATATCCTTTGATAAATTTTGAAAAGAAACTACTAGAAAATAGATGGGGACGATCTGCAATTTTATCGCGATTTCAATGTTTTTGACGTCATACTGATATCAGAATTCACATTTCAATTCTTTAATGTCCGAATAATTTTATCCAATTCGAAAAATACACTTTTGTAAAATTGAAGAATTTTATATCATTAGCATTTCATATGTTTCAGGAGATAGATTTTATCATATACTATACTTTGACATCAAAAGACTTTTTATTTATGTCAATTAACAAAAATAACTGAATCCACATTTTTGAATGTTATTTCAGGGCTGCTGGAAAGAGAAATTCTTATCTATTCTTTGTGTGGTGCAGGATTTACTATATGCATTGTAGTTTGTGTCTATTGTTTTTGCAGCAAAAAGCTTAAACAGAGCAAAAATGTTGATATTTGTGTACGTGAACAAAATAAGGAAAATATAGATATACATGACCATAATCTGCAAGGATTATATGATTTCATAGATGAAGATGATATGTTACAATTAGCTTCGATCGCCAAAACCCGTAGTGAATCCAGTAATAGTTATTCTTTTACTGTTTCTACTCACAGTGACGGCTATTTAGATCCGATTTCAAGCATTAAAATTAGCCATTCAGATACATCAACATCAGATCCGGCCATTAAGAATGAAAGCAGTAGTTATATTCATCCATACCAAGCTATTAGTCATCAGCCTGTTGAACAATCACATGAATATACCAGATGTATAGCTGTTCCTTACTTAGAACTGGTTGATATTGGTCGTTGTGGGAAAAATGGATATAGTCAGAACGGAGGTTTTCAGAAACGACAAGCAAAAATTATACACAATCTTAACAATAAGATGAACATACAAAAATATAACCAAAGCGAATCAGACATAACAAAATTTAATATAACTCCGTGTCCTTCAAAGAAATGTAGATCGTCTTATTAAATCAAATATTTTCATTCGTTAAGAATACCGTTCACTTCATATCCACAAGTAAGTGTTTGAGCGTTTACTTAGTTCGTTGAAAAGATACCATGAGCATGGAGGGCGAAAGATATCTTTTAATAGTACTAACGCTATTCCAATGGGACTTAAACAATTGTTATGATGACTTTACCTCATTACATAGAAATAAGAAGATGTGGTATGAGTGCCAATGAGACAACTATCCCTCCAAGTCACAATGTGTAAAAAGTACACAATTATAGGTCAAAGTACGGAATTCAACACGGAGCATTGGCTCACACCGAACAGCAAGCTATAAATAGCCCCAACATGACTAGTGTAAAACAATTCAAACAGGAAAACCAACGGTCTAATCTATATAAAAAACGAGAAACGAGAAACACTTAAGAACCACATCAACAAACGACAATCACTGAAACAGGTTCCTGACTTAGGACAGATGCAAACAAATGCAGCGGGTTTAAACGTTTTAACAGGCGCCAACCTTCACCCTAACCTGAAATAGTAGTGTTATATTACAACATAGAAAGACACACTATAAAATATCAATTGAAATGGCTTAACTCAATCAAAAAGACATATTATTGGACAAAATGGCATTCAATAAAATAACGTACACAGGTAAATCTAAATATAATAATTTTGTTGTTAGGAGTACGGAAGTAAACATTTTTTTACAAAATTAATAAATTTGTTGTTCACGCTACGAGTACAGAAGTGAAAGTTTATCGTCATACTAAATACTTATCAAAGGTGTTAACACAGTTCCTTTTTTAATAAGTCCCTATCATTTGTGAGCTTAAACAACCACTTAATTCTCTACACTACTTGACTATTTTTTTTTATAGTAAATGAACAACTAATACAACATCGTATGAACTTCCACTATAAGGAATGTGATTCCGAAATTTGTCCAGTATTGCCAACATAAAGCGTAATCGAACTATTTTTCCAGTAAAAATAATGTTATTGGAAACAAATATTTATTAAATCCATTTCTCGATTTACCCTTTGATATTTTCCGAATATGTCATATTATGCACTGAAACAGATAAAATTTCCAAAAATATACAAAAAGGCAATGTTCTGAATTTCTTATGAATTACCCGATATGGTCGATAGTAATCAAATAAAAAAATATTTCTCTTTTCTTATTGCTTAAATATCAATGGTACAAACCTTCTAAAATTCAAACTGACCATTATTCCGTGCGTTCATCGTGTATCGTGCGTGTTGCGTGCGTGTATCGTGCGTGTATCGTGCGTGTTGCGTGCGTGTATCGTGCGTGTACCAATCGTGCGCTCATCATTCATCGTTCCGTGTATTTTCCGTGTAACGTGCGTGCATCGTGTATTCTTAATCGTGTATGGTGCGTGTATCGTGCGTGTATCGTGCGTTCGTCAATCGTGTAGAACTGTGTACATCAGATAACGTGCATTTGTCAAACGTTCATCTCTAATCGGGTAACGTTCATTCATTGCGGTTTTTATATGATAGTCGGTTATAGAACTCATCAAAGCTTATATTTTATCTCACGGTTAAAGTGTATATATATGTTCCGCTTTTAAATAAAATTTACATTCATACTTACTTTCTTGTGAACACTTAATTAACTTCATCGTACATAACGTTCATATAGATTCATGAATTTTTGTGTAAAATTTATTTATCATCTGTAAACATTTCGTGGTTATTCAGTGAATCTTGGCTGGGACTGACACATTTTAATATAATGATACTTGTTCTACGTACAAACAATAACATGGTGACATTTCTACGACAGAACAGTTAAAATTGGAATTTCTATTCAACTGAGCGAAATGGGCTTAAAAATATACTGTTGGCCAACTGTTATTTGTTAAAAAAAATTCCGCCAATTAAAAACAACAGTGTTTTTGCAAAATTTAGATGTGGGGTAGCTCCACTAAAAATAGAAACTGGAAAGTATGAAAGAAAAGAAGTCCACGAGATGACATGTGTTGTAGCTCTACTATTGAAGATGAACTTCATGTCATTTTAAAATGCCCATTATATGTAGATTTAAGACAAATTATGATACATTAAGCTAAACATTTTAATGAACATTTTAACCTTTAATTATCAGATAGCGAAAAATTTATATTTTTATTTAATAACGGCAATGTTGCTGCTATAGTTGCCAAAAACATCAACAATATTTCATTGAAAAGAAACGGCATTTTATTTCCTAGTTCTCAAAGAAAAAATGTTTTATTTTCATATAGTACAGGTGGACACTGTAAATTTTAAATGTAAATGAGTAAATATATTGTGTCTTAAAAGTCTCTCATTATTCTTTTTAAGATTGGTACATACAATGCAAATGTTTTAATGTTTTATGTTTATTTCTGTGATTCTCATTTTATGTTTGTATGTGGTGAGACTATAATAAAATATTGAATCAGTATTAACATGATTAATGTTCAACTTGAGTCACTTCTCCAATGTTGAACAATGCAAGATTATAATTCTTCGCTTATTTTGGCAAATTCATATTCTACTAAATATTCAAACATTTAAGTTTTGGTAAATACCATTACAAATATAATTTTTGTCTTCGTTTCTGATGGTCACGTGCACGTAAGGTTGTTCCATTGAGAAAATACAATATACAAGATTGTCGGGTAAATGTGGATTGCGGATTAAGATTTTAGATGTCAAACTTGAATTAACAAATTAAACTGAGGCGAATTTAACACGAATATGTATTTTCTCTTCAACAGTGTTTGTATTCTCCGTTCTTTATTTTCATTTAAAATAAGCTAAATATGTTTTGTGGAAAATTGAATACAAATAAACATATGTATTTGAAGGCATTTTTTTAATTAAACAAGTATAAGATCACGCAAATATATCCCGTATTCCTTAAGAAGGATTTTAAATTGAGGAACTTTTTAAACTTGAAATTGTGTTTACGAGTTTAAGATATTCTTTTTTATTTAAATTTTTTGATAAAATAGTTAAATATATTGTATTATCATAACAAGTCTTTATTTAAATGGAATAAACATGGAACACTTTCACAGATTCACTTTTCATTGTGTTCATGGTTGCATATCAAGGACACCGTTTTTAATGTATGTCTAAAAGATTAATATCCGAAAAAATAATTCACAATAGTACTTTGTATTAAAGAATGACGGATTATTTTACCATGGGGGTATTTTTTGTTCCGTTACTGAGGACATTTTTTTGTCCTTTATGAATCCATATGACAAATTTGACTCCAATAAGGATAAATTTTATCTTATAGAAAAATCGGTAGTTTTTATCCGATAGATTTTGTGTTCATCTTTATCGGATATAAAAGATTGAAAAATACAAACAATTAATTGAAGTTTCGTATGCATCTATCACGATCCAGCAACTTTTGACTAGTATAAAGGGTTGCCTTGGTTTTATAGCTCAAAACGGTATTTTTTGTTTTGCTTTACATTGGGTTAAATAATGAAATGTATGTTTCAGAAATTTACAAAAGTTTGATTTCGGCTTTGACTCCCGGGGACACTGTCGTTTACAGTAAAAGACGAAAATCTACACATGTACGTTCTTATAAAAAAGAAGTTGTGGTATGATTGCCAATGCTCATCATTATATCATAATTATTGTACTCCCCCTAATAATGAATCTATAATATATGCCACTGGACGTTAAACGATCAACTATTAATTCATCCATCTTATCCTCTTAGTTTTGTGATAATTTGCATATCAAATACATGAAACAACAGGGGCGGATCCAGCCATTTTAAAAAGGGGTTCCCAACCCAGGACAAAAAGGGGGGGGGGGGGGTTCCAACTATATGTCCCAATTCAAATGCATTGATCGTCCAAAAAAGGGGGGTTCCAACCCCCTGAACCCTCCCCCTGGATCCGTCACTGAACAACTGCAGAGTTTCACTAAAGTTAGAAGGCCGATATTATTGCACATATAAAACAGACATTAACATCGATCCCTACGTTTTGATCCCCTCACAAAACAACACTTTATAAATCTCATGCATCTAGAACGCTTTTCTGGATTTACTTTCACTAGGAACGCTCAATGCTAAATATCTGAAAGCCAAAGAATGTATAAAATGGATAGGAGTGTAGAGCTATATGACCAATAAAGGGCCTATACACATTCACAACATTCTGTGTATTTATGTGTCTGTCCAAAGTTAAAAAGCACGTAGTTCAGTGGTTTTCGTAACATCAATTCTGTTATATACATGTACATGTATTTGGGCTTTTTTTTGTGGCAAGATACATGTAGCTTTGAAATAAAGAAGGCCGTTAGTTTGCTCAATTGAATTGTTTCATATTTTTTTCATGTCGTGGCGGGGCCTTTAATAACCGACTTTACAGTTCCCGTATTTTTTCATTATTGAAGGTCGTATAGATATAACTGCTAGCATTCCTCTTGATTTGAACTTTCTTGAATAGTTGACTCACTAGCAATTATACCTCATTTTCTTATTTTTACATAAGCCTTCAATCCATCAAAAGCCAATTTAGTCTGCTGTAGCTGAAACCTACGTTTCTTAAAAAAAAATCTAAATTTATATACTGACAATTTAAGAAATGTTTGTCATAGATATCTGTTCGTGATATAAGTATCAAAATATTTTAGCTATGAATATGTGTAAACCCTTAAATAAACCCTATTTCTTTTGGCAATACCTACGGGAATTAAAATAATAAAAACCATTACTAGAAAATCGGAATATATATGTGTGTATGACTCGGAGGCGCAATGGAGATCATAAAGTTTGATGGCCACGCGTGAAGTGCGATGAGCTGTTCGATGGTTTGCGATGGTTTATATAACGCGGGATACCTAGATTAAAGTCTACAGATGTGCAATTATTATGAGCAGTATATTTGTTTCAATGTCAGTATATAAAGCATTTACTAGTGTTAATGTCTATGAATGTAATAGTTAAAGTTGCCGCGTACTAATTTAGAGATCGTCCTATTTGATGTTTTGCATGTGGAAATTATTCTTGCTTCAACATGTATCTTTACTTAATTTGTTCCTCTAATGAGATCATCATTTACCGTTATATAATCATAAGAATAGTATCACGGTGGACCCATATGTATTGAGGGAATGACACTTCATCGTACGTAAAAACAAATCTTTCGTATATTTCCCGTTTCACAGTCCTACATGTATATTGAATTTTACCCACAACTCAGAAAGTTGACCAGCGCGGGGTATGCTTAAACCTCTTATTCTAGATGTCAGGTAACTTACTCGTGTTTATGTTGGATTGCTGTCTGATTGACGAATATCCGTCATTTTATATATATATATATAACAAACAAATTTAAATTATATATATATATATATATATATATATATACATTTAAATTTGTTTATTTAGGGATGCATCCAGTTGCACCTTTTCATTTAAAATATATTTCCGTGAAGTAATCTCAAAAGATTACTCACTTCAATACAAAATAAATTAGGGAAATGAAACCTCTTCTCGCATGTTGCACTTTGTGTAATTATTCTCTTCGACAAAATACTGCCTTGAACTCAATTTTGGTATAAATATAAAGAAGCACATTTGGTTCTTAAATGGATATTTTTTAAACACCTAAAGCTAGGTAAAGCCTATCTCTTGATATAGGCTCTTAAATTCGGCAACTTTTAGGGACCGACCGTGCTTGGGCTGTATAGCCAGTCAAGGTCGCTTAACTCTCATTATCCGTTTAAAGATTTTCTGAAAATACGATGGTTACTGTCTCATTAGAAACTAAAACCTTATCAAATATGGTGGCCTTCGGCTGTCATCTGCTCTTTTTTGGGTTGTTGTCTCTTTGACATATTCATCATTTCCATTCTCAATTTTAAAATAACTAAAAATATGATAAACAGTTGTCAGATCAATATTCATTTAACAAGCCAATGCGTTGATACAGGTTATATTCTACTGAATTTACTATATCCGTTATTATTACGTAATTATATAAGTCCCGTGTCCAGGTAAAAATAACAATTTGTGGTTTGTATGTCAGGTGAAAGTGACAACGGGTGGTATGTATACTAAAATGTTTATCGTCTTCCATTATACATGAGGGTGTGGATGGGGGTTTATAG